TTGCATCACCGACCAAGAAACGGAAGGTTGATGGTGAGGTGGAGGTATAATTAGTGTTTGTTTACCTACAGGGAGAATCACTTAAAACGGGGTTTATAATCTCAGATACCCAGGCCCTCGTTACAGTGGAACTTGGATGGTCTCATCCTAGCGTCGTTGAGATACCACTTGCAGAATTAAAATAGATTTTGTCTGCGCCCGCTCGCCGCCCTGAATCACTGTAGTACATTGTTATGTGCCTTCTTTCCTACAAAAACAAACACTCTCAAAGCCCCTTGCCCATGAACTTTCTCTTGGTAAAGCTCAACCACCACTTGCTTGGCCGTGTCTCGTCGTCGGCATACACCCTCGCCAGCAGCCGCTCGGCCAACTCCTGCCTGACCTGCATCATGTACTGCCTGAGGACCTCGGCATCTTGTCTGTCACGGGGAGGCTCGTACATCTGTTTCCGTCACCCAGCCAGTTAGCTTTCCTGTCCCTTCTTCATTCGTCATCCCAACAGAAAGGAAAGATATTACCTGTCTCAACGGCCAGCTCGGGTCACCTGGAATCGCAAAGTTGGTATCCAGCGCCAAATTGTTCACCTCTTTTGTCGCCTCCCTCCTCGATGCCGTCGGCTTGATCTTGCCCAGGCAGTCCGAGACGAACCAAATGCCGTAGATCAACAACCGGTCCGCATTGCCTTGGATCTCAAAGTTGCGGAAAAAGGTGTTGGCGCGGAAGAGGGCGAGAACCTCGTCGAGGATGTCGTAGGACTCAGAATCCTGGTCGGGCGACTCGTTCTCGGGGAGGGCCGGGTCAGGAAAGGGGAGGGGGTAGACGGGGCCGCGGATCTTGGTTCGGAGGGGGAGGAGGGGAAAGTTGCCTATTAAACGGGGCGGGTTGGGGTCGGTGTTGAACATGGAGTTATAGGCCTTGTGGTGGGAGACATGTTAGCTGGTTCAAGCTGGCTGGCAAGACAATGACATGGAATAGGGGGTGAAGCGGTGGGAAGAAGGTGCTAGGAAAAGGTGAATAAGTTGGATTGGGGTAGGAAGAACAATTGCCTACCGGCATCTTGACGGCTTTGCGCTCTCACGGAGCGACTTCGCTTTGATATGACGGAATACGCGATGTGGTTATTGTCAAGGAGCTTGGAGCTTCAGTGCCAGCTCGGCTTACGCAGCTAGTTGGGTCAGTCAATCAACCGGTCGCAGCCTTGCGGGGGTTGGCTTCGCCAGGCTGTCGCTGGAAGCTGCCAACCTGGAACCCTGACGTCGAAAGTGCAGGGTGTGGCGGTGCGGCATTTGTGGCTTGATCAATTGGCCTGATATTATGGCCTGAGGCATCAAGTATTTGGGTCACACCAGAAGAGTCATCACAGGCAGCCACACTTCCCACGAGCGGCTGTGCGAGCAATGGGGCGGCGAATGTGGATAAGCACGGCTCAATTGGTCGGCTCGCCCCCGGCTAAACGAAGGTGACGCTGCTTGGCAATTCATCTGGTGACGCCAAACATTTGCGGTTTTGTGTGCCCTCCCTCTTGTCGGAAGTAACACTCAGGCAGATAAGGTGCCTCGAGATTGCCTGGATATTGATTCTCCATGCAGTGGTTTTGCCCATCTTTGCGGTGAGAGATCTCAGATCTCAAAGGCACCAAGACACCAAGAGCCCAAGACATGGCTTGGTGACGAAAACGTTGAGGATTTTGGGCTCGTGGCTGGGCTGAGATCGAACACGTCGATGCCTGGTCCCCGGCCTAAACCGCATTGGGCGACCATGTCACGGGATTCCGTGTACTAGCGTGTCTCTGCAACCGGCACAATCGGGGCACAAGCCAGCCTGTTTGGCTGCAGAAGTGCAAATTGTGGGCGGTCGCCACGCCCACAGCAGGCTGGGCGGGTTCCATCATGAGGGGGTCTCGCCCACCCCCGTTCCCGGTCGCGTTTCTTAAAGCCAGCCCTCTCCAGGTCCTGCCCAGCTTTGCTTATTGCTCCAAGAAGCTGTCGCATCACCGTCCTGATAACACCGCGATCCGTTTTATCTCGATATCGCCTACTTTTGCTGCGTGCGCACGACACTTTTCCATTTTCACCATCGCCTGACCGCCTTATCCATTTTGTGTCCTTGTCTGTGGAGCCGTTACGAAAATCGCGTCAACGGGGCTGGCTGCCAGAAACCACACCCCACCACCCTGGTAAGCTTTAAGGCGACCACAACACCGATCCCCTCCATGCTTGCAATTGAGTAAGTCCAAATTCCATATCAACAACACCCATTATATCGCTTGGCGCAAATACTGACGCGCGACCTCCTTCTCCCCACAGCTCTCTCTTCAGCGGCAGCTTTCTGGGTCAGCTGCGCAACATCGCACTTATGAAGACTACCTCACGCGACGCGGGCAGCTCGCCCCGTCGCATCACCACCGAACCCACCCCTCAAAACAGTCGCCCGGCACCTACTTCCCCCCCGGGACCAATACACAGGTCCCAGCCGAAGCCGGCAAGCCCACGTCGTGGTCCGCGGCCCGGCACCCGCATCACACGTCCCGACCCAGGCTCACTGTACGACATCATGCACGACAATGCAGGCACCTCCCTCTACGCCATGCCCATGTGCTGGACAAACCGGCACTCGGAACTCCTTGGCGTCCAGTTCGACAGACAAGCCACCATTGAGAAGCCTGTCCCAAACCTTGACGGTAGATGGCTTGAGCCCTCTCACATGGCGCGCGTCTTGACCGCAGAGTTGCAGGTGCTCGTACGCGCAGACCCATCGCCTACGGGTACCAAGGTCTTTTGCAAGAATCGCGCCATTAAACATGTCATGTCGACACTCTTCCCTCACACCTTGTCCAAGCCAAAGACCTCAGCCGAGCTCGACCTCTTCTTCGGCATGAAGGCTTTCCGAAAGGCGGTTCGTCTTCCCTGTGTCTGGAAGAGTGCTGCTAGCCGCGATGCTTCCTTCGATTCCATGGCCACGCTGGATCCGTATACGCTTGGCAGATCCGATACCGAGTATGCGCCCAACCTTCCCATCCTGGCCTACGTCAACCGGTCGCAACTGGCTGCTATCCGCAAGAACCTTTTCCGCATCGCCTCTGGGCCCAACGGCACACCCAACGAGCCTGTCGCGCGGCTGCAGGCCTTGCGCTCCAAGCTCTTGATCCCGGCCAATATCGATCACGACCCTTATATCGTTGCTACACTCCTGGCAATGGCGCAAGCGCACTTTTACCGTATACCCGCCTACAGTGGCAGGATGACCCCGAGTAGCTCGGCCAATGACAGCCAGAGCCAGAAAAGCCATGGTGTACGTTTGCGCATGCCACAGTTCCGTGACATCAAGGTTCAGCTCATCACCCACGACGAGGGCCAAGAGAGCGACCCTCATTTCATTGTCTACACCGCCGTCGTTACAGCTGCCTTCTTGGAGAGGTTCATGACCCCGCACAAGACCCCGTCTGTCAACGACAGCGAAGTTGGGCTCGGCATGAAAATTACCTACACGCCAGTCAAGGTCTGGCCTATCCTTGGTCTCAAGGAGCGTCTGGCCAAGGCACTCGGGCCTGAAATTTCGGGCGTGTCGCCGTTTGACAATCCGGACTTCATTGACCTTCACGGCCCTCTCGTTGAGCCTGCGCCGGAGCAACTGCCTGTCTTTACCCACATCATCAGCCAGCGCAAGCTCAAGCGGCGGCGTGATAAGGAAAGACAGCCCCTGGAGGAGATGCTGAACAGCAGTTTTGAGGAGGAACCCCCCAGCTCGGACGACCGACCTGTACTGAGTCCGAGTGCTAAGAGGAGACGGACAGCACGGTCGGTTGGGACTCTGGAGGTTTGCTAGGAACGACCTTCCTAGCCTTTTACTTTTTTTTTTCCTTCTTTTCGCAGCATCATCACGACACTGAGTATGAATGACGGAACCAAAACGAAAAGGGAATGAGTGTTATGGAAACTGTAAATAATGAGGGAGCGTTTTTTTCTGATGGATTGTACATATGCTCATGGATACCCCCTTTGCTTTTTTATAGCAATGGTTGGAATACCTGGATAACGGCATAGACGCGCATTTCCGACGCGCGGTGGACATGACGAAGCATGATAGCAGGCAGGCGTTAACTGGAAGCATTATTTGGTTTGGAATTAGGGAGGTTTTGTAGATTTTTTACATCATGGTATTCGCTGTAGGGCATGGGTGTACCAGCAATGGTTTGCCCTTGTTCCAGATGCAGCTTTGTTTTTCTCTACATGACAAGGGCGTTTCTTCCTGTGTGTGCTTCTCTCTTACTGCATCAAAACAAGCATGATGAATGAATGGTGGTTGAGGTAGAACGACCCCGCCATGATGTGGTTTGACAAGGATGGCTAAGACCAAGGATCCATTCGTCTGAAGCTGTCACCGTTGCGGCCCGTTGCAGATCCCTGCGCGCATCAATGGGATCTTGCAGCGGGAATGACATCAACTTTTTGACAGAAAAAGAAACGAGATGGAGCATGGACCACATTTTGTTCTGGATTTAAACTCGGTACACGGTTACAGTGTGAAAATAGCATGGAGACTGAAGAGAGACAACATAGAGAGCAATCAACTGTTTACCTGTATGCTCAGGACGGGATTGTGAGTGAGCATGAGATAAGAGGTGATGAAAAGCCAACACTTGGCATGTGGAATTCCTGAGGTATCTCAGCTCTCTCATGATTCGCTGACAGCCTAGCATTACTGAGCCAAATTCAAGACGGCAATATTGAAAGCCCGCTAAACTCATCAACGTGAGAGAGTAAAACTAATTCCAAACCTCTCAAACCATGATTTCTACTCTTCGTCATTACCTACATCCCCAATCTCATGCTTAATAAGATGCGGTCAAACTCAAGTCACGACTCATTTCACCCCACGCAACATTACCCATATATGCAACGCAGATGATTTCTTCACCCAAGCCCTCGGGTAGATCCCTTTATTTGAATGTATCAATGGCATGATTGCGTACGAGACTAAATAAAATAATAAAAAAGAATTTCCCACACCGGGAATTGAACCCGGGTCGCCAGGGGAGCTTCAAATCTCTTGATGATGAATCAGGAGCGGGTGAAAACCTGGTATGCTAACCACTACACCATATGGGACTGGATTGGTGCTTTTTGATGGATAAAGTTGGGGGAAACTGCTTCGAAGAAGGTAGATGAATTGGAAGAGGAAGGGGCGCGGTGGTGTTGGTACTGGCGGGCAGGTTCTAAGGAAGGTATGTGGTGGTGGTTCCTTCTCTAGTGGTCCGAGAACACGATTCCGACTTCGGCTCGTCAGAAAATCACATACTATCAGAATCTTCCCTGAACTTAAGCAGACGTCTGGAAAAGAAGTGGAATCTGGACTTGCCGTCCTGGCACCAAGGTCGTTTGGCAAGGTTCTTGCCCCAACCGTAGATGTCTGAAGTCCAAGACACTCATCACGAAAGGCTTTCCAGATTGGGCACTTGGTTCATTTAAGGGTGTGAAGGGACTCATATCTGAAAATGGAAGTGGCTGAACGCGAAGTGAGAGATCGTCAGGGCAGAGTCCGTTCCAAGTTAGATAGGTACCTACCTAATCTTTCCCGGTTAGTCATCTCTTCACATGCTGAAAACACACTCGCGGACATGGTCACATTTGGGTTGCTAATAAATTCAACAGTCACTGTCATTTGTGGAAATCCGGGGAAGACTTGTACAGTACCTACACTACGTCCTTAGTGTAGACTGGTAGATGCGGGGTGCATTAGCTCTTTCTTTCGGTGACAACTCCCTTCTCGCTGTTACCTCTGGGGAGCTGGGGGTCAGTATGGAGGAGGTCGTGATTTGGCTTGTGAAATGTACTGAGATGGTCCTTGACAGAAACATAGGTAGCTTGTGGTATTTTCGTTGTTGTCTATCGTATTCTCTGTGCCAACTTCCCCTAGGTGTCTCGGGGTTCGGATGGCTTGATACAAACAACATGCTTCGGGCGTTTAATGTGCAACAAAAGGCCTTTGTTGACTTTAGGTTGACATCTACACCTCGGCAGCGTCTCGATGTTGGCATTGACATATGAAAGTTGGATATTGACGTTGTATTGACTACCGGCGTCGGCCACCATCGGAGAATTTAAACAAGGAGAGCTGTAGCATAGTGTACTGTGTATAGGTGATTGGTGACTCTCTTACGGGTTCCTGATGAGCTTGGCTAGGCACTAGGGCTCCGCACTTGGGTTTCTCCAAAAAGGCAGGTCAGCACGACAGCGATAAGGGCTCTTCGTGTTCATTATCGGGGAACATGAGGAGCTCAAGATGGAAATGCGATTGGGTGGAAAATGCTCCGAGACTCGAGACTCGTACGAGCTGCCTAGCGCACAATGGTACCGCAGGTAGTGCTGTGGACTTGGGATATCGGTGACTGTGTAGTGTGTAGTGGCCCTGGCATCTTGTACTCTCCGAGTCTCGGGCTTTTGTGTTGTATTTCCCGAATTGCCATCATGGATGAGTCGCTATGTTGGCCAACAGACCTGCTTTGCAACACCGTATCGGTAGGCACCCGACTCTGTTTTTCACCTTGAAGCTCGTCAGACATTGAACTCATGAACGGCTACGCCGGGTTACAGAGTACGGTAGGTTGGTAAAGAGATGTTGTTTCTGCCGTCATAAGCGCCAAGGAGCTATTCATGGCTGACGGAGCGACGAGTGCCTTCTCCAGACCTGGATGGCGTCGGCTGTCGTAAACCAAAAAGGAAAAGAGCGCCGACTTCCCCGCAATAGCTTCCCCAGCTCTTCCACGACCCCACCCTAAGCGCAACTTCCCCAGATCCAGAGGGGACCTCACCTCAACTCCCGTCCCACGTTGCAGCAGGGACCAGGCGCTGGCACATCTCGCACCAACTGTCCGACTCTTTCACTGTCGCGGGCACACGCATGGTGCTTGACAGGATAACCCTCGTGGGCAGCGCTCGCGGCGGTAAAAATAACATGAGTTTTTGGACCCTTTTTGTAAAACCATCTTAGTGATCCACTTTTACTCAACAGTTTCCCTGACCCTCACCACCATATCCTCGCTTCGTCGACCCCCCGGTGATTCAGGGCCGTCGCTCCAGAACCTGTTCTTTCCAAGGCTTCGACTGTGCTTGTATCCCACCACTATGTACTTTTACCCCTCACACGGAAACCGTTGCCAGCGCGAGTCCGGGTTGCGGGGAAATGCGACTTGATAGTGTCTTTCCTCTAGCGTACCGGCTAGTCGAGGGAATAGATCTATGTACAGCCTACGATCTACCTTACCGCAATTTAGCTTTCTTTCCACCTACCCCCCCAAGCCGAGGTTTCTTTAGCGTCAGGCACCAAACGCTCCTTCACATGCTCGTTGTTTTCTGCCGTTTGAACATGGCTGACGACGGTATACCAGTGTTTTTGGACAGATTTCTGCGCCCTTCGGCCGTGTAGTTCTCTCGGGTTTCTCCTTGGCTATAATACGCGTAAGAGACAGCGCTAGGTAGGCTCTCAGTGCTACCTTCCACCGCCCACCAGACCGCCAGATGACCATTGGCGTTTTCGGCCATTGTGATCCCCCCACGACGGGGGATCGAACCAGCGGGGAGTTTTCATACCCAACCCCCAGAACCTCGCACCACAACCCCGGCCTTGAATGGCTGTTAGCGCAAGACCCCGGACACAATACCTGGTACTTTCTCAGTCACTCACAGTGCACGAAAGAAACGAAAAGATGCCCGCGCTTAGCCCCCGACATGCCTTTTTGAAGGTGGAAATCACTTCTCTACAACTGGGAATGCCTTCAGGTGAGCTGGAAATACCTGTATTGGAAGGATGATGTTATAGTGAAAGGTGAGGATTTGGTTTTCTCTTGATGCCTCGCCTCGCAATCATTCATTGCCCGAAGTGTACAACACCAGAGCCGCCCAGAATGAAACCTCAAAACCAGATCGCTGCCCCTCGGTGCGGCACCGCAACGGCAGTCCCCCCGATGCTGCCCGCGGCCGCTTGCCCATCCTGTACATATCTCCTTGATGTCAGTCAGTCACCTGGCTTAGTGGAGACCATGTCTGCGTACATGGGAGCTTTTTCTGGGGAAACCCTGCCATGTCACCGTGACCCACGGTGGTGGAGTGTAGCAGGGCGGGTACACCACGCTCTTGTCGTTGAGATTGCCGGTGGACACAACCTCAGAGGTTGTTGAACAGATGGATTATTACGAGAGCTATATAGATCTCATCCCTCGCCGCCCTCCTTCGTCATGAGAGGTCGTCAGCCAGGGAATCTCATCTTCTCCTCCCCATCCCTTCCTGCTCCTCCTCCTTGTCCGGTGCTGTCCTCAAGGTACTCACCGTCACATCTCCGGCAAACACCATGAAGGGCATCGCCACTCTTGTCGCCGCCGCCGCCCTCGTTGGCCAGGCATTCGCCGCCCCTCCTGAGCCTCCTACCCAGGTTCTCGAGAAGAGGGCCAGGCCCACTGTCGCCATCGCCCAGGGCAATGTTGTCGGTGTCACACGCATCAACACGGACGCCTTCAATGGCATTCCCTTCGCACAAGCCCCCGTTGGTCCTCTCCGCCTGAAGCCTCCCGTCAGAACCACTGCTTCCTTCGGCACATACGACGCTGGTGGTATTGCTGCCGCCTGCCCCCAGTTCTTGGCCGACACCGACTCGGAAGACTTTCTTGCTAAGGTCATCGACACTGTCGTCAACACTGCTTTGTTTCAAAAGGCACTCAAGATCAGCGAGGACTGCCTAAACATCAATGTGATCCGTCCGGCCGGTACCAAGGCGGGCGACAAGCTACCTGTCTTGTTTTGGATCTACGGAGGTGGTTTCGAGGTACGTACCCCCCAAAATCTTTCATGTACCCAGTGTAATTCTTCTGGCTCACACTTTGTACAGCTCGGCTGGAGCTCCATGTATGATGGAGGTCCGCTTGTCTCCAATGCTATGGCCGCCGGAAAGCCCTACGTGTTTGTTGCTGTCAACTACCGTGTGGGTGCCTTTGGTTTCATGCCCGGCAAGGAGGTTCTCCGGGATGGCTCTACCAACCTTGGCCATCTTGACCAGCGTATGGGTCTGGAGTGGGTTGCCGACAACATTGCTGCGTTCGGCGGTGACCCGGACAAGGTGACCATCTGGGGCGAGTCGGCCGGTGCCATCTCTGTCTGGAACCAGATGTCTCTCTACGACGGTAACATCAACTACAAGGGCAAGCCCCTGTTCCGCGGCGCCATCATGAACTCGGGCAGCATTGTCCCCGCTGACCCCGTCGACTGCCCCAAGGGCCAGGAGATCTACGACACTGTGGTTGCTCGCTCCGGCTGCGGCGGTGCTGGTGACACCCTCAACTGCCTGCGCAACTTGCCGTATGAGACCTTCCTCAAGGCCGCCAACTCTGTCCCGGCCGTCTTATCCTACAACTCCGTGGCTCTTTCTTACCTGCCCCGTCCTGACGGCGTTGCTCTGACTGACAGCGCTGATCGTCTTGTCAGGGCTGGCAAGTACGCCGCCGTGCCCATGATCATTGGCGATCAAGAGGACGAGGGCACCCTCTTCTCGCTCTTCCAGATGAACGTCACCACCAGCAGCCGACTTGAAGACTATCTTAAGGGCTACTTCTTCCACGGCGCTACCACACAGCAAATCAAAGGTCTTGTCAGCCAGTACTCCCCTCTGATCTTAGCTGGTTCTCCTTTCGGCTCTGGTATCTTCAACGAGATCTACCCCGGCTTTAAGCGCCTTGCCGCTCTGCTCGGCGACATCGTCTTCACCCTCACCCGCCGTGTCTTTATTGAGTATGCCATTGCTGCCAACCCTAATGTGCCTGTCTGGTCGTACCTGGCCAGCTACAACGAGGGCACCCCAATTCTCGGCACATTCCACGGCAGCGATCTGTTGCAGGTGTTTTACGGCATCTTGCCCAACTACGCGAGCAAGAGCATCCAAAACTTTTACGCCAACTTTGTCTACAATCTCGACCCTAATGATGCGTCCGGGGGCACCAGCGCCAAGAGCAAGGTGAATGAGAACTGGCCGACGTGGAATACCAAGGACAAGAGGCTCATCCAGTTCTTCAACAACCGCAATGGATATCTCAAGGATGACTTCCGTGAGGGGGCGAAGCAGT